TGCATGAGGCTGAAGAGAGGATTTTTCTTGTTTTGTGATAGTGTTGGCTGCTTATTTAGGTTGTATAGTCTGTCTTATTGTTCATATAATTCCAAAACAAGGAAGTCAGAGGGCATGTACATTCTAATTAGTAGTTATCTGAGACAGCTCTCAGAGCAAAGACTTCTTTCAAATTGTTTTGGATCCGAACATGCTGTATCTGCTTGAATGACGAAATGTTAGTAAGCAAAAAAGCCAAAGTTCTTCGTGGGAAGGCAATTGCTGCATAGCAACTGCACTGAGAAGATGCAATGAAGCTTGCATGTGGTCTCTTTTGTTGCTATTTTTGTCCTCATTTTCCCCATGCTCTGAATTGTACAGAAGTTATTAAAGTTGTTAGAACCAGTTATTTTATTCATTGCTACTTATGCTCTAAAAACCCAAAGCAAATGTTGTAGTTTGTTTTTTTTTTGTAGAAATAATAAACAGAATTTAATGTGCTTTTTATGAAGGGATGTTGTGACTCAGTTTTCAAATACATATTGTCTTTAATGTATGAGAAGTTGTCCTGGGTTCAGCAGTAGCAGTCATTTTTTTCCTTCTTAGTAGCTGGTGCAGCATTGTGTTTTGACTGTTGGCCTGGGAACAGAGCTGATAACACTGATGTTTTAGTCTGACTGAGGACTTTCTGAGCCTCATGCTCTGGCAGGGAGAAGGGAAAGCCAGGAGGAAGCAGAGACAGGACACCTGATCCAAAGTGACCAAAGAAGTATTCCATACCACAGCATGTCATGCCCGGGGATGTAACGGAGAGTTACCCAGAAGGGCTAGGACTGCAGGGTTGAAGGAGGTATCAATTGGTGCTTGGTTGGGCTGGTGGGGGCAATTTATCAGTCGGCTGGTGCTGAGGTGTTGTATTCTCTTTCCTTGTTATTTTCTTTATCATTATTATTATTGGTGGTAGCAGTAGTGATTTGTGTTATACCTTAGTTACTAAACTGTTCTTATCCCAACCCGTGGGAGTTGCATTCTTTTTGATTCTCCTCTCTGTCCCTCCAGGAGTAGGGGGAGGGAAAGAAGGGGGGGAGTGAGTGAATGAGCTGCCTGACTGGTTTTAAACCACGACAGAAGTGCACGGGAAGAGAGCAAGATTAAAGAAATATGAAGAGTTTCCGTGATAATAGATGCTCAGAAAGCTGTAGTAGAGGAAGCTGCATTAGCATGTGACTCCCCAGTATGTAAACTTGGCTTTTTTTCTTGGGTAGCTACTCTTCTCTGGAATAATGACAACAGAAAGAAATTCGTTTAAATGTGGAACAGTCCTGAACAGGTCAGAGAGGCCAATTAGCTCAGGCAAACTAGCTAAGCTTTTAGAAAGACTCTCTTTTGCCAGTAAGGGACAGGAATGTAACCAAAAGCTGGAGTTAGCAGATACGTAATCTTCAGGCTTGCAACAGTGGCTTCTGAGCAGGCTGAGCTTCAGGAGTATGTTCCAGGCTTGCTGAATGAGGAACTAGATGAGATATTTGGAAAAGCAGGCTGAGAATCAGGTCTTCTGTGAAGCTCTTTGATCTGAGTTATTTCTGACCATGCATTATACCTTCTGAATTCTGTAATGTAGTGCATCTGTTGGGCATTGGGAAGAGCCTTAGTAGGTAAGGCTATTCAATTGGGCTGACTGATGTCACTGATGTCACTCTTCCATTGTCTTCTGCAAGATCTGGGAATGTTAATCCCATGATTTAGGAAGCTCCTAAGATTCTTCAGCCAGTATTAGTGTGTTTCAAGCCCCTCTAGGAGGAATGTGGGTCTTGTACAGCAGAGACTTGCCTGGTGTCAATAACTCTCTCCACAGCCTCTACAAAGGTCAGTAGTTCGGCAATGTACAGAAAAATCAAGGCCAGATACTTCACTGTGCTTACAGCTCCCTTCAAGCAGCAGGCTTTTATATATAGCTTCTGGTTACCAGAATGTTCGCTGTCTTCTATGTAAATTATTCATGAGGTGTGAACTATTGGACACTTAGATATCTGTGTAAAAACTATTTCTAAATTTTCACCTATGTCAAGTGGGCCATTGTATGTTAAAATTGTATCACCCCTTCAAAGATATTTCATGACAGCTTATAAGTAGTTGAGTATAAGCAGACTATGTAAAGAGATTTTTGTAGGTTGTTGATGAATGAGGTTTCTGGAGACAGGCTTATTGAAAGAACCTGGTTTCAGTTAAGCACTGGTACAGTTGGTGTGTTATCAAAGTACACTGAACTGCAGTGGTGAAAGGGACCTGAAAGGATGATCGATTTCAGAATGAGTAGTTCGTTGTGGTATTTCAACATTTCACCACTATAAAAACTGAAAAGCTTTTCTTTGTTACAGTTAGTGAAATTCTATCTTTTCTTCCTCAGTGGTCCCCAGGAAACCATCTCATATTTTTCAGTACTATTCTTTGGTTTATCAGTTTGCTAGAACAGTTCTACTAGTCTCTTATAGGTTGCAAACACCCCTTAATTCTTCATTTTACTTTTTTTTTTTTTTCCCCCCCTCAAAGGACATCCTTTCTCAACCCTGTTCTTATTGCTGTCATCAGGAAGGCTTCAGTTTCTGAAGATGGTGTCTTTAGTTGGACAGTGTTGAAGCTAATGTATCACAACTGCTAGCTGAGCTTGGAATAGTCACCCCTGTTTCTTAGAAGTGGTATTTCTCCCAGCTTGGGCTGTTATCCTGTTGATTTAGGCTTTTAGCTTGGGGTTCACCATAACCTGTTTCACATTCTTTTCAGAAGTAAAAGTACCACAAGGTTGTTTTTCCTCTGCATTACTACCTACCCTGTTCTTCCCTTTTCTGCATCTGTGCGCTAGATTTCTTCTTGCACCAATTGTTCAGCATCCTGGCTTCACACCATTGCACTAGTCCACTGAGATCATCTTGAATTTTATTCTCCACTTCTGCATTTGCAATTGCTCTCAGCTTGATGCATCCGTTAACACTTAGTCTGTTTGGTTCCTCAAAATGAATAATCTTGGTTAGATAGGTTCCATAGATAGACAGATAGATTCCATAGAATAGATAGATGCTATAGGATAGATTCCATAGGATCTACCTTGAAATATCTTTCTGGCTTGCCAGTGTGTTGTGAATAATGACCTTGAGAGGGTTAGGAATTTAATTTTTTTTTAAAACCCGTTACACAGGTAACATGACAATTGTCAACTCTTACTTCGTATTATCTTGTTTATGAACAGGATACGTTGTTCAGAGTTAAAAGCTCTATTTTAAAGGAAATTAGTTCAGTTCTACCACTTCCCCTTTGTCTAGTAAAACAAGTTCCCTGTCGGACATGAAAACCGCATTCGAATCATCCCTCCTTCCTGTGAACTTCTGTCATCCTCTGTAAATCCCAGTAGATGGCACTCTGGATCTGTAACTCAGAGTTTCAAAGCCGGAGTAATCACAATTGCCTCCTGTGCTGATTATTTTAAGCACTTGTTTCTTAAAGTTTGGTTCCTAAGCTGAAGATTAAAATTGCTGTAGCAGTAGAAGTCTTCTTGAAGTGGGTTTGGGTTCACATCACTAAAAAAAAAAAAAAAAAAAAAAAAAGAAATCTGGTAATCCTTCAACATATATATTCAGCAGATAGGGAACAGAAGCTGTGGGAGCTCTCATAGCAGTCTTCCGGTTCTGAAGGGGGCCTGCAAGGACTGCAGAGAGGGACTCTTTATCAGGAACTGTGATAGCACAAGGGGTAATGGGTTTAAACTGACAGAGGGGAGATTCACATTAGACATTAGGGAGACATTAGGAAGAAATTCTTTACTATGACTGTGGTGAGGCCCAGGCACAGGTTGTCCAGAGAACCTGTGGCTGCCCATCCCTGGCAGTGTTCAAGGCCAGGTTGAAGGGGGCTTGGAGCAACCTGGTCTAGTGAAATGTGTCTATGTAGCAAGAGGGTTGGAACTGGATGATCTTTGTAAGTAGATGGTCCTTTGTAACCCTGACCATTCTATGATTCTGTATTTGCAGAGCACAGTTTTATATTGAATGCTATTGAGGGAGTGAGCCTTCTTTGCAAGTGTGGCTGGAACATGTTCCAGTGTTGGCCATGTGATAGACTTGTGTATCCATGCCTGATGCATGAAGATGCAAAACAGGAAAAATAGAGGACTGGGGATCATTCTGCCATGTGTTCTCCTGGTCTGCGTATAGCCAACTGTAATTTAGATGAAGGATGGAGGCTGTTCTCTGATTAGGCCAACCATTATCACCATGATCCATAAGGTCACACAAAAAAGGTAGTTTGTTTTAAAGACTTCAAGTAACATTAGTTCTGCTAATGGCATTAACTCTGGAATTCTGTTTCTGATTAGGTTTAAGTTGCCTGAAACAGTACCTATCACTTCATTCTGATAGCATCACATGGCTGCAGTTCGGGTCTGCTGGCTGAGTGCTCTGCAGGCTCCTGCAATTGTTTGAGGAATGGAGTCTGGATCCTACTTTCTCTGGGGGCCCAAGGCTGTGTCGGCGTGCTGCAGGCCTGCACTCAAAATGCTGGGGCAGAGCATCTTGTAGAGGGTAATATTGAGGCTGCTAGTCCAAAGATTCACCACTCAGACAGGATGGAGCAAATTGCTGCCTCCTACATTTTTGAGTGTTGTTTTCCTGATAATTGATTGTGTCAGGACAGTCAGTGGTGTTTAACCTCACCTATCTTGGCTTTGTCTTCAAAGGGACTAATGCTTAGGATTCCAGTTAGCCCCATTCATCCAGAATTTTGAAGCTCCCTCTCAACTCTTCCTGACCTGTGAGCACTACCAAGCCTTCCAGGACAAAGTAAAACAAGTTAGCTGAGCCACCTGGCAGTGGTTTGAACTGACTTGTTTGGCTTTGCCCTGGAACTAACTAGAAGTGCTTACACAGCCAGCTACTGATCTCAGCTAGAAGGTGTTAACTAACAGCTGAGAAACAGAAAGGAACAGCTTTCTAAATGACTTGTGAACTGTATGCCCTCAGTGAGAGGCTTTCCTTGAGCCTGTTGTCTTTTCCTGAAAGAGATAAGGTGAGCTCCATGTTCCAGTGGAGGGGTACTATAAGAAGCTGTCATGTCTCACCTGATAGTTAGTGTATTTCCTGCAAAGGTGTGTTCCTGCCTCTGCAGAACAGATGGGATTGCTGTATCGGAAGGTGTCCAGTGAAGTCACCCAGTGTGCTTTGCAAGGGTGCTGCGAGTAGCTTGGGGTGGAAACTCCATTGTGGAACCTTTTTTTGTGGTGTACTTCAGAGAATGGGGAAAGCAGTTTGGCACACCAGGGTGTCTGACAGTGTTTGAAATACAAAACCCCTTTTTTCTCTTTCCTGTTAGTAACCTGGTGTATCAACCTAGTCTAGTGAAAGGTGCCCCAGTCCATGGCAGGGAGGATGGAACTACATGAAATTTTTAAGTCCCTTCCAACCCAAACCATTCTATGATTCCATGACCTATTGTATCACGTAAGGAAATGATAACAATTACTATCAGTCCAATATTATTGTCTTTGAGAAGAATAACAAAGTTTGAACATGCATCATGCTCTTCACTTGATTTATTTGTGAATATTTGCACAGAGAACCACCAATAAAATAGATCATCCTGTTATGCAGGAGGTCATCTATACGCAAAATGAAGAGCTGTCTTGCAGACAGAAATATATATTTGGTTTAAGTACATTGTGCTTAGAGTTCATACACATCCCCTCCAGTACTTACCTATTAAAAGAGTTCACAGAAACTACACGGTAAACCCGCTGGAATAATTTTTATTAAATAATTTTCTCTGGTAAACAGGGAAAACAGAGCTGCAAGGAGGTTAAAATCTGGGCTTGGCTTCCCCACTAATGACAAACTTGGGCCCCAGAATTTGCTGAGACAGAGATGACAGGCTCTCGCAAGTACATTGGGTCATCCACCCACCCCTCCTTTCTGGTTGCTGCAGGGTGCAGGTGCACTCCGACAGAAAGGCCTGGATTGCCTTTGAGCTTTGCTCACACAGAAAGCAGAGTAAGAGGGAGGGAGGTGTGGATAGTGTTATACACCTGTCCCACACAAATGCACTAGACCAGCATCCCCAAACCTTTCTTTCCTTGCACTGCTTGAAGAATATACACTGTAAGAGTGCCTCAGCAGTATTGGTGGTTTTCTTTCATTACTGAGCGGCCTTCTATAATCTGCCCACCTTGGGTGGTGGGCAATTTGTGTTTAAAGAAAAGCTGTGTGGAAGCAGGGATGGTAGGTAGGATTGACAGGGAGCCCATTCACTCCCATCTGCCGTGTGTCCCAGTGCAGGATACGCTGAATGACGTTCAGAAACTGGCACTTAATGTGACTTTGGACAAATTTTTTACACCTATGGATCTGGTCACCTATCTCTAAGGCAGATGTTTCCATCCTGTTGTAATCCACCGGGAAAATTCTAGTCTTATGTATTGTATAAATCCTCAGTATTATCTCTGGTAGGGTTTTACAAGTGGATGAGGGACAGGATGCCTTTTCTTTATGTTAGGCTTTTCTTTATGTTAGGCTTCGACAGTGTCACCACTGGGATAGGAGATTTGCTGCCCAGTTGGAGGAGGGACAGGATGCCTTTTCTTTATGTTAGGCTTTTCTTTATGTTAGGCTTTGACAGTGTCACCACTGGGATACGAGATTTGCTGCCCGGTGCATCAGCCTGAATGTTTTTGATGATAGCATCAGATTTTTCTCCTACTTGCCCTTTTCCCTAGAAAGGGGTTAGGCTCTGCGGGTGTTGCCTGACAAAATTCAGGAGGTGGGTGGGTGTGGTGAGATTTTTCTGGCTGCACCTCTCTGAAGGGTTACTGAGAGTGCAAAGGGCCCTCAATCCAAACAGGGAGCAGCCTGCATAAATGCAAGTAGAAGCAGAAGATTCTCCAAGGCAGCATGTTTCCTCTTTCTGAAGCAACTTGCCAATTGAGAAGGAGATAATGTTGGAAAGCAGCTGGGCTATTCTCCGTGTGCATGCATGTGGCCAATCATCCTTCATGTGAACACATCAACCTCTTGGAAAGATGCAGTTTAAACCAGGTGTTGCTATTCATTTGCTGTCTGCACATCACAGTAAGGAAATGCAAGGGGAATTCGTAAGCTAGTGAAAGGTTGTGTCTCTTACAGAGAAGAGGACCAGAATCTAGAGCTCATTCTTTACTTGTAATCTCACGTAATTTTACTTGTTATCTCTTTTCCAGTAGGATTCTGTACGTTTGCACCCCAAATATTGCTGCCTTGATGCTCCACAGTTCACCCTAATTTTAGTGGCTTCTTTCTGTGTCCCTTCAGTATTCAACCCAATGTCCTTTCTTGACCTTTTCTTGACCATATGTGCTTGCATGGCTCCTGACCATCTTCATCCTCCTGTCAAACTTGGAAGACATGGAGAGACAGACATGCCTATGGCATGACTGCAAGCCCTCATTTTCTTGAGAAATCTTCCTCAAAAGAATGAAGTGTCCAACTGGAGCCTATTCTAAGGTACTGAGATGCTAAAGTCCAGCACTACATGGCACATAGTACTGAAAATAGTGATGATCTAGACCTTGTATCACTTGTGGCACAGCAGACAAGTACTCTTAATAAAACATGCTTAAGTGCTTTGTTGAACTGGAATTAGCGTCAGCCTGTGGCACATGGAGTGTTTTCAACTAGAATGTCTCAAATTGTTGAGTCGAGTCCTGTAGTTTCAGGAATAGCTCAGGGAGCTGCTGACAGGTCAGACAAATTGCTGTTTTTCTACCTGAGTTGTTGGCCATTCAAGCAGAGGTCCAAGCAGATCTCTGGGGTTTTGGAAAGGCCAGTGAGATACCAAAGAATCTTGTTTAACTTGGCTATGGCTGAATGCTGCAATTCCTTGTGAGGCTTGGTAAACTCCGCTCATTCACAGACAGCATCTGCTTCTCTTCACTGACAATTCCTAAGATGACCTCTTGAAGGAAGCAAGCATAGTTTTCTAAGATGCTGGTGACTGTTGATGGAGCAATTGCAGGTGTGTGCAGAAGGCCAAAGCCAAATGTGCTGGATGAGCATCTGCAAGCTACCATGGCTGAATACATCTGCTTTACCTATTTCTCTTTGCTTACCCAGCACCCATCACAGACGGCACCATGTGGTGAATGGATTTCAGGGTACTCAGCTTCTGAGGTCTAAAGGACATGGTTAAATACTCTGCACAAACTAGAAAACAACGTGTATCTAGTTATTCTTGCTGGTACCTGATGTTAAGTACTACTAATACTTAACAGCATATAAAGGCTAGTGATTTTACATCTGCTGGTCTCTACTCACAGTATTTCCTAGATCTCCTGTCTGTTTCTTCCAATGTATCCACCTTATGTCGACACCCTCCCAATACACATTTTACCTCCTGTGAACAAACCATATGTGGACCTGGATAGTAATTTTGTTTGACTAGGGGCTTCCTGTAAAAGGCAACCAGAGGGCCTAGCCCACCCCTGTGGCGCAAGCTTTTAAAGTCCCATTATTGCTCTGAATCACACCTTCGTCACCACACCCTGAGTCATATATTAAAATAAAACTATGGGCAATAATAAAACTCAGTTATATGAATGTGTTTTTTATTAAAAGAGTTCTTAAATTTTTTTTTATTACTGCTTTGAGGCCAACTCATCATCTTTTGTTATGTTCATTACAAAAGATTTTGCTCCAATCCCTGTTAACTTGAAGGGAAAGGAGCACAATACAGAGGGAGAAGTTCCTTGCTGGCATCCATTCCCTTGTCCTCAGCATGCCTCACAGTCTTCAACACAGCTACTCTACAAGAGCCCTCTGGGGTAGGTGCTGTTACAGGAGAGGTTGACCAGGCAAGTTTGCAGAAGACGACTCACAGAACAGGGGGTCAGACTGAGTTCTCTATGTCTCATACCTAGCACTCTAGCTCATGGCCTCGACTGTTCCAGGTACTCCAGATATGAGCTACTGTCCTTTGTCAAGCAAATATGAAATGGTTTTTAAGCTTTGCCGATATTATGTCTGCTTTTATTCCCAGTAGAACAATAAGTCTTTGTCAGCTGCAGATGTAGATGATGAGGTTGGAGGGAGGAAAATAAATTAGGAGTCAGAAGGCTTTTTTTATATTTGTCAATTTAAAAACTAGATTTTTCCCATTTAAGAAGGAATAATCTTCGAGGGTGTGTTTTTGTTAAGTATTTGGTTCTGTAGATTGGGGAATGGAGCCCTTTTCTTCCTAAGGTTTTGTAAATGGAAGTGTTTGTATCTTGATTGAAGCTTAAAAAAGTCCTTGTTGACCACACCAGTACGAGGACTCCTTGCTCAAACAAAAGCACATAATCCATACCATTTTCTCTCACCCTAAAAGGTAGCCGAACGCACAAAAATTGAGAGGCCAATGTCTCTGCACCAATACTTTGCATTGGAGTTGTTCCAAAATACAATTCCTCTGTGCACCTTTGACTACAACACCTTTTTTTTCTTTCCATGTGTCTCTGCTTTCTCTGATAGTAGCACAAGCTTTAGCTTGCGCTCAAGGAACAGTCTGACACTCAAGATCTTCCTCTATTGCAGGACAGGTTACTTTCTGCCATCCCTGTCACACATTTATCTAGGTCATCTGAATTTCTTTTGGTTTGTAGAAGAGCAGGTGCTTCTGAGACTACAGCATGAATTTCTGATGGAGCTGGCGAGTCAGAAGTTGGCCTCCTACTTACTCTATAGGGAGAGGGAGTTAAAATCTTCATTACAGATGCTGATGCTTTTTTCTGAATCTTCTCATAGAGGAACAGCAAAGAATGATTTTTTTTTTTATGAAGTGGGATTCTGAACATCTAGAATTCTGCTGCCACTAAACTTAAAGTTCATAGGGCACCCAACATATCTGGTGTTGAGGGTTTGCAGTGGTGAATGGCTTCCCAGTAGTCTTTATATATCTACCTCTGTCTGTTTCTGGACATGTATTAAATAATTCTCAATCATCAAAAATGTGCTAAATGTTCCCTGACTGACCATCCACAGATCATTTTAATAGCGGTCTTCTGGTTTACTGAATACATGTTGTGACATGGATTATTCTCTACACACTGTACAGGATCAAAAATTGTGACAAATCCACTTGATCTCTGAGGATGGCATGTATTTTTAAAATGATTTTTACCTCTAGACTCATTAAATCATGAGACATTTTCTGCTTCACTGCTAATAAATAGCAGTTCCTGTCAGGTAATCAAAAACCCAACAGACCAAGAAACTGGCTCTTGAAAGACACAATAGATCAACAGGATAGCCTTGTGTGCACGAAATGCCTGCGAACTGGGCATAGTCTGAAAATAATGTATATAATGGTTTAAACCCCTGGGCACAGATGTGAAATCCCTGCAGGTGTTTTATTCCCTGTTCCTCAGTAATTCAGATGACTTTTGTAAGGGTAATGCCTAGAGAGCTCCCATGGAAACGAGAACTAATGATAGGTAGAAATAGAGCTGAGGAGAAGCATGTTACAAAGGCTTCACAAAAGCTCCCTAATCCTTGAGATCTAGCATATACTACTGAGGATATTGAATAATGGATTTGCTCACTGTACAAATATGAAGCTTGTTAGAGGCACCTTTCAATAACTGGCAGTCTGAAGCTGTTCATTCAGGCTTTAATGTCCACCCTTTTCGGTATTGAGTTATTGTATTAGGTTATATCATCAAACTGAAATACTGTCTGCTTCACTCTTTCTGTTTCTGTGGTTTGTCAGAGCTTCTGCATTTCTGAAGTGTATTTTTAAGGGAAGAAAACGATAGCTTTGGATCTGGGTGTTTCCCCACAGGGTAGGTGTCCGTGGTCTTCTGTGAGTAATCAGCCTGGTCCTGGGCACTCAGTATCTAACATTTTGCTTACAGTGAGTGGGTGAATGACTTATATTCAAGGCAGTGGTGCCTGAGGGTAGGTAGAACAACTGGGAAATTCGATTCTTATAAATTTATAAAAAGAGCTAAGAGGTGTAATGTACTGTAAAGCTGCCACATTAACACACACTGGGCCATCTTTTCACTGTTTTGTTATGCAGCAACAGTTTTATGACTGTTTCAGAAGGTGTTATAAATCTTTGTTTCAACATGGATAATATTCCAAATCCAAATTTTGCTTCATTTTTATGTGGCTTCAGAAAACTAAAATTAGCTAGAGTGTATTTACATTTACCTTGCTTGTCACAATTACAAGGCAGGTGCAGAAATAGTAAGAGTTGGTTTCATTTAATAGCAAAAATTCAGCAATGCTTGTCCTATTTGTAAGTGAAAGGAGAACCAGACCTTCTGATGCACAACCACGAGCTTCAGTTTCTTGGCCTTTCTTTGCCTCTCTTTCCCCATGTCTCCATGGGGTCTCTCAGGAGAGCTAGTATGAGTCAACTAACACTGAGAAGCACATGTGCAAGTGTGTCAATCCCCAAAGCAAATGGGAGCAAGGTGGCCAGGTCTATGTTGCAAGGTGACAAACACCAGTGCTTCTTTATTCCTGAGGCAGCAGCCGAAGGTGTGTTTGAGCGTCGGTCATGTCTGTGCTCTGACTCTCTACATTTAGCTCTCCTTTGTTCTCCTGCAAACAAGCTCTTCGACTGTGCTTTCTGTCCTTCGGCTGTCCTTCCCCCTGCTTTTCAGTGGAAGTGACTCTCTTGTTGACTTTGTGACTTCCATTATTCTCTTCTTCATGCTTTTCATTCTCTTCCTGATGAGGGCGGAGGAGAAGGCAGAAAAATTTCAAGGAGACTTGAAGCCATGATGAACTTGGGTTCAATGTGAAAAGATGCATAGCTTTTACCCCACTAATAGCCACTGTAGAACAGCTACTGGGGCCTTTCTTGTATTACTCTGCTACCCTCATGTTTTGCAACAGATCCCAGAGAAGAGGTAGCTCAGAACCCATCAGAGGTCCCTGTGCTCTTACCTGGACCTGTTGTCCAACTGGAAGATGCTTAGTCTAGAGGGAAAAGCAGCTCAAAAAAGGGGGCCAAGAGCATAACGGTGACAACCTTAATAATGACTTACTCTTTGCTGTCTGAAAGAGGAAACAGCTTTGAGTGATAAACTGGCCCTGTGGTATTCCCCTGAGAATTCATCCTGACTTCTGCTCCTGTGTGGTTTTTGGTGGTGTGTGTATTCTGCTGTGGTCAGAAGGATGAAGTTCTATTCTGTGACCCAGAAAGCCTGACTAGAACAGTGTCCAGTTCCTAACTGGACAGGAAGGACAGCTATAAGGAATGTTTATGGAACAGTTCTTGCTATGCAGTCTATAAATACCACATATGTCTTTTTTCTTTAGTTTAGGCTTGTGTCTGTCCAGCTGATGGTGTTGATCCTGTCCTGGGGCTCAGACACAGGAAACAAAAGGTTATCCTGGAGGACTCAGGCTCCCTAACATAGAGATTCCAATGGACAGTTGGCTTAAATTTATGCATATATTTCCTGCCTTCATATACTCTGCTTACTGCCAAACATATTTCTGGTGCTTAAAATAATGGTAAGTTTACCTTTCAGGTAAGAAATTCCTTCTGATCTACAGTTTTTGTATGACTGAGTTTGTATGAGAACCACATAAATGTCCGAAGCAAATCATGTTTTAGTTTTAGTTCTAAAGATGGCAAATTACAATTCTTATGATTCTTAGGGATGGTGAGAGGAGGGCTGGCTTACTGTTCTCTTGTAGGTGCCTGCACCACAGGCTGGGGAGGAAATAAGTAGGAGAGGCAGAAGAGACATTGCACGTGTTCTTTGCCCTCTACTCAGAAGTTAGCTAAGGTCAGTGCTTTGCTCTGTAAAACAACTTGCATTTTTTTTCTGCACTCTTCCAAGGATGTATCTAAAACAAACAAGCAAACAAACAAACAATCAAGTCCCAAACAGCACCTCCCACCAGCCCCAAAGAAGCCAAACACAAATCAACAACCCAGAACAACAAATCATGTTTGCACAAAGTAGGCCTATTTCTGTTTCTTTTTGTATGAAACTGTGCTTTTACTGTTGATAATGCAGCTGAATAAAGTATACCTGCTTTCCACTAGGGTAATAAGGTATCTATTGCTTCCGGGTAACTCAGAATCCTGGTGGGATTTCATCTGCTGTTGCACCACTCTTCAGCAGAATCAATCTCCTGTATTTCCCTTGGAGAGTGTATAATATGTGGAAAGCATATTTCAGGTTATTATTTTCTAACTTTTTAAAAAATTCAAATATTGGTTTTAATCTGATTCTCCTAAAAGAGCACATAGTAGTCAGAAAATCTGTTTTACTTAAAAGGGAAATGCGTATAAAGTTTGCTTATAGTAGAGCCATTTCAACTCTTCTAGTTCTGGCCCTATTGCAAGACCTGTGGAGGAGAATACAGACCTTCGGTGTCTTAATTGCTTCAAAGCTTTAGTGCTGGAACAGTTGCAAAACTTTTCAGCTCTTTTCAGTGTACTTGAATTTACTTTCACTTCAGGGATTTCTTGTTGTGGATCACTTGTACTAATGAAGGTTTTTGGTTTTGTGTTTTCCTTGCCGGCAGCACCTCTGAAGGAAAGTTCATCATGTAAGAAGTTTTAAATGCTAGAAGAAATTCCAATAAAGAATTGGTAGATGAATGTTAACATGAATGAAAGAGTTATTGCTGAGAATTCTGAAGTATTAAAAAACCCTAGAGGTGATTAACTTCAGACTCTTTCAAGACCACTGAATGGTATTGAAGGTTCTGGTTCAGTAAACGGTGCTTAATGCCATGAGATGCCGGCAAACTAAGCATTAAACTCAGTAAGATATATTTGGAGGATTGGACCCCAAAAGTGATTCTCTGGTTTCATCCTGAGCTATGGGTAAATAGGTGTATACTATATGACAACAGGGTTGCTGTAGTAATTATTCATTAGCTTTAAATAACAGGGTAATTATGAAGCTAAAATTCATATACCCCAACACACCCTTTTTTTGCTAGCTTTTCAATTTCTGAAGAATGCCTACAGCCTTTTCCTTTGTGTTGTAAAACAGGGCACTGCCCCTAGTTGTGCACTGCTGTTTCTTTGCTTTTTTGCATGCTCCTTGCAAGAACGTGAGCTGGGGTGAAAAGGTAACATGAATCAGGGAGGCGAGCACATGAAGAGAATAAAAATCAGTTTCTCCTGTGTCTCCAAGGATAACGAAGGTCGCTCTTGTGCTCATAAACAAATGTATGCTGCACACAGGACTGGTTTCTCCCTGAAAAGTCTTGCATTATCTGTTTTTTCAATTTCTGTTCACTTCTATTTTGGGGCAAAAGGCAGCTGGCAGAACAGCAACAGAAAAGATGAGTGTCAATATTTTGGAAGGACAGGTCCCAGTCTTGTGATCTGTATCCTAGATACGTAACCATCAGATGCTTTGGGTGGCATGGTATGACCAGTGAACTCATGTTACATACATGAAATAGGCAGAGTTTGAATGCTTCTGAATAAAGGGTTTATCTCATGTGGATTGAACCTAATTTACTATCTTCAGAATCTCAGAATGAAGTCCATAAAAATTAGTCTGTCCTTTCACCTGTAATTGGGGGCTGTTGCACAGGATACACTGCAGTTATGCTCCACACATTCTGTGTGACAGCTCTGGTTTACTGCATTCCTGATAGGCTGCTACACTGAATGGTACAGGGAGCCTGGCACAATGTGTCCTGTACAGCACCACAACCTGTATGTGCAGCATATGAAAGGTCTTCTGCAACCATGTGGTCCTGTGCATACCTGCACATTGACACAGCCTTGTGCTACACTTGCTGGGCTGCAAGCCCTGTAACCCTGCATTGAACACCTGATGAAAGGGTAGATGATTCAGCAAGGGCAACATGCTCAGTGCTGCTCTCCCGGCTCACTTCTCAAAGGCAGCCTGCCACTGCCAGTTTCTTTTACTGAAGTAATTTGTTTTTGCTGTCTTTCACCCACCTGAGTGCTGCAGTCATTGGCTGTTTCTTGCACTATGAGCACCATATTGCAAATGGCCAGTGGAACATAACAGAGCTTATGCCTGGAAAGTTGGTTCAGGCCGTCACACAGGATATGATGCGTAAGCCGCATCTTGTACATTGCAGATAAATTCTCAGTGCACTGGACTGTTGGATAAAAGAGTCACCAACAGTGCCATACTTGTCTGTCTTTAGACTGAACCTTGAAGAAGGCATTTCTGGTAAGTGTGCTCTAGGATTTGAGAGTGAGCTTTCTGAATGAAATCAACAGGAGGATGCTGATTTGTAATCCCAGATACATCTTAGATGTGAGACCCAGCCTAATGCCTAGTGCTCTTGCAAGTAAGATGGTTTTTTCACCACCTGATAATAATTCTTGACAGTAACAATGGTGAGGAGCAAGGTGTTAGTAACACACACATGCTAATAAATTTGGGACCAGTCACCTTAGGTTTTAGGGAACCACCCAAGATCTTGTGTGTATCACATTTTTCTGTTCTAGTGGAGGGGATGTGAGCAAAAAGGAGATCCATGTGGACCATGATACTGGTTTGTTCTGAACTTGAGAGCTGAAATAGTTCTAGTGTAACAGGCTGGTGCAATTTCTGGGCTGAATTGCAGAGGATGCTGGAGAGATGAAAAGACTTGTAGGGAAGAAATAAATTGTTAGAAACTTGAACTTTTGGGAGAAAACTGTTGCTGTCATGGGGAGTGTGGGAGCAGATCTGTGAGACCAACCATTTTAAAACAAAATGGTTATTACAGACCTAAGTCTTGGACTTTAATGCAGGTATTTCAGCAGTGAACTACTTTGCTGCTGTAGTGTCTGAGTGCTCTAACCTTGCACTGGGGCCCTTTTCATTATCCCGAGATATCCTATTATGTTGTAAAATCTGGTTTTAAAAAGCTGAAAGAGTGGTATGGAAGCAGTCGGACATTGGCAACAAACGTGTGTGAAAAGACTCCAAACAAATCCCCCCACTCCTCAACCCCAACAAAAAGTCTATTGGCATTGTCACAACTTAGAAATCTAACAACAGTAAGAGTTTAGGCCTGTAAGGAAAGGGAAGACTTCTATCTAGGCAGCCTGAGCAGGGTGACTCTTCTTTCTAATTCTGACTGTTTTGTTAGTGGAGGCCTATCTTTTCCTGGTTCTCTGCCTCCTCTTACTCTCTGTCCTCAAAGCAGCACTGTTATTTTTAAACACTCTGGCAGCTTGGAAGAGAAATCTCAGTAGGCTCTTCCAGTAAATCTCTCACTCTGCCCGCCTGCTCCACTGTGCCCTCCACTCGACCATGCAGCATGATGTTTAGCTGTGTAGGGCCAGGCACCTCAGTGTTTGACATCACAACAGTATTTGAGACTTTCTTGAAATAGGGTTGGGATCTCTGTGAAATACACTAAACAGTACTTTACACAGCAGGAAAATGAAAACTGACATAGAAGTAATTAGTTACAGATAACCTGTGATAGTGTAGTTGTTTGTATTAAAGCAAATATAGTGGGTAAGCTGTACAGAAAGTGCTATGAGGAAAAAGAGAAGATCAAAAACCTGCACACCCTTTTATTGCACAATACTCATGCATGTGTGAGATACATATAAATATATGCATTGCTTTCTTACGTGTATTCCTTGGACCTCACACTGTATCATTTCATAAACAGAATCTGTAAGTACCTATTGTATTGAGCCTTTGGTTATTTTTATTTCATAACATTAACATGTTGGTTTTTTTTTAAATAGTATCTGAGAACATCTGAGAGGCGAGGAGCTCTTTGAGGGAAGCATGTTTACTTGTATTAGTGGATTACTTAGCCAATGGCCTCTGGTCCCATCACAAATTTTGCATCCCACCATCACAGAAACATGAAATCTTTATGAGGGCACCTCACACTTCAGACACAACTCTTGAGTCCTAGAGACAGAGGCTTTTACACTTGCAAAGTACATCTTCAGAACTTGAATGCCTAGGTTTGGATGCTGATGCTCATGGTGGACAACCAAAATACATTTTACTTCATAGGACCTGTTGGTGCTCAGCATCTCTGAAAGACTATGACGTTAGATGTCTCAGGCAGAATACTGTGAACTAGCACTTCTGTGGATCTTAGCCACACACTGATAAAACTTGGCCCTGATTACTGCAAACTGTTGATGTATCAGGCAGGAACAGGAGCTTTTCTCGATGCCTTTCAGTGCTCTATGTTAACCACAGTCATTCTTGTGTTGCTCTAATGAAATGGTTGACATGTCAATCCATTACTTCAGAGGTTAATGGCTACATGGAAAGTAATATAGCAGGCCCTTGTGGCCAAGCTGAAACCCTATCACATTATTTTCTTGCTGATCTCCTCAGTTGTGACAACTGTTGTGGAAAAGTTAAGAAATAATTTAAAAAAGTGTTTTTGTATCTTGATTTCTCTCTGTGAGGTTGGTCAGTGAACCCAGGATTTTTCCAGAGGAGGGAATCCAGTTTTTTATTGCTTTTCCTTTTAGCTTGACTCTAAGTTAAAAAAAAAAAATCAAAAAAAAAAAAAAAAAAAATCAGTGTGTGTAAGTTTCAGTTACTTTATACATGGAAGTGAATAAATTTGGATTACAGGCTCTGAGAAAACTGGGATTGTAAAAGCAGACTCTCATAAAACGTGTGTCTGCTTATTAAACAGGATTAGCTGTTATACAAGTGTTCAGGTGTATCTAGCACAAGCAGAAAGCAAGCAATTTTCTCACCTTTAGAGGATGGCACCTCTTATTCCTTATGGTGTCCTGTACGAGTATAACTTTACAGTTTCAGTTAAAAGCTCTATGCTTAAAAATAATGAAAAGCCACCCTCCTCATCTCCCACACTCCCTGCCACATGTAGAGACTGAACAAAGTTGCAAAAGATTTCAAACAGGAAAAGCTACTGCTAGAGTGAAAAAAAGAGGAAGGTTTTATTGCTAAATTAGGAAGTGGAAGTTCATATGAAAGACGCTTTCCTCAGGAAAAAAATTGGTAAGTGTGAGGCAAGGTGATCTGCTATTGCAGTATAGCAGGTCTCAGCTCTCTGTCACTGACAGAGAGTTCTTCCAGTGTCACATTTTAGCTTTGGACATCATATACCTGGTACCTACAAAATAACAGCAAAGTATGATTTTCTACATGATGGTCCGATTAGTAAGTAGGGATTCCATAGCAGCAATGTATTTGGCATAAGTGAATTACCAGCTCTTTGTAGCTCCATAGGTTTTTTTGGTCCCCCCTTTTCCTTCTTGGGGGATGAGGAACAGTATACAGGAATCTGTATTACATTTTGCAGTCAAAATGTGTTCTATACAGATAATAATTTATTATGAATATATAGTATTAATTGAAAAAGTTTTCCATAACATTTTAGGGGTGAGCAGCAATGGTATAAATTCATACAGTTTCCCATTCTGCTTCTTTACAATTTCATATACTGACTTAGAGTTTTCAAAGCATGTTTCCTGAATCAGGACTTCTGTATTTATCATAAAGCTTAACAGCTTATTGTTATTTGTCCTTTTTTTTTTTTTTTTGGTGCATTAGTTTACTTGTTCATTCCAGAATGCATGCTAAGGTTTTTTGGTGATGATTTCAGCTACTTGGTTTAATTAATTACAGTTTGCTCAAAAGCCACATGAAATAGCTGGTCTCCAACCCCAAAAAACTTAGGAAGAAAATAAAAATCAAACATCTTTATGCTTGTGGGTTATATGGGCAAGATCCAGGAGTTCAGATAGCAAATGCTAAAAGACATTCCTCTGTGGAAAAGGAGGCTCAGCAAGGAATTATTTAATACTGTTCCATTCTTTCTTCTCAGAGTCATGCAACAGAAGGGCAAAGTCAGTGGTCACATGTTGAAACGAGATATTTCAACAAGAAATGAGGAAAAGAATTTCCATCAGGAGGGTGATCCAGTGCTGGAATAGGCTAATCAGATTGCAGTGTCCACTTCTGGGATGTTCAAAAGCTGAGGCTTGACCAACCTGCTCTGCTGGCCCTGTTCTGAGAATAGGCATTGGACTAGGGGCTCCAAAGCTCACTTCCAAGTTCAGCCATTCTGTCATTTGTATGTGATTCTGTATATTTTAGTTCCATAAATGACTTATTATAGGCCAGATTTTCCAATACAGCAGCATGAAAGTATGAGATGTATGTTCTACTCACTAGGATAAGTAATTTTTCTAGGAAAAAATGGGTGCATTCAGCATACATACTTTTAAATAGACTCATTCTTATGTGTGTTATGTATTTCAGTTATTTTAAGCATAATGATTTGTCCTGTCTATTGTCATTCCCTTGATCTTTTCCTTTTATGAGTGTTTGCAATCAGATTTATAATTTTGTATACTGTTTTCCTTCATATAGGAAGGACCAACAGTGATTAAACTGCATTTAAGCCCTGTCAGTTTCAGTCATTTCCCCAGAGGGAATTCTGTATGGTATAGGGCTATGAAACTTGCATTTTCTTTGCGAATTAGAAAGAGCTTTCTCCCCATTTCCCATATGTCCACATCTGTGTACCAGATTCTTTATGAAAATCAATTGCGTTTTGAATGACACTGTCAAAACGGAGGTATCAGCCTTCAGAATGGTTGGTTCTTATAGATGGTGTATTTTCCCTGGTGACCTGCAAATAATTGCTGTGATGTGTTTGCTAATAATTTTCAAATAATAAATCTGAGGCAAATTTTAAAACTTTCACAGGCTTTTTCTTATGTTATAATTATTAATAAACTTAGAAAAAGAACTGAAACCCTCCCTGCTCTTTTGCAGATGTTACATCTCTTGTAAAGTGAAATGTTATTCTAATGCTTTAGAAAATGTTTATCTTTGGTCTAAGCAATTATCTGTTTGGCACCTTCTTTCTTTTTCACCCCCCACTATCTTTTCTCCTGTGGCTTCTTCAGTTTCCCTCCTCCTTTCCTGAGAACTGGGTAATAATAGAAAAGAAAAAGTCTCATTAAAATACAGTTAGTTATATATGTATGTTTTAACAATTATTTCTAATGGAAAATTCTACTTGTGATGGCTGCTGTTATTACATGTATTTTGAAATCATTCTAGATTTGGAAAAGACATCTTGTGTGGACAGACAAAACCTTTCCCTTCCAGAGGTAATTTCTAGCCTGACGGTGCTTGATTCAACATGCTTAGACTATGTATGAGTTGGAATGGAGAAGCATATGTAGAGCCTGAAGAAAATAATAAGTTAT